TTAGTGACTGAACAACTTGCCTCTGTGTTAGTTGAACTTGAAGCCAAGTGGCTGTATTCCATTTAAATGATGATTTTTGTTTTTTTGTAGCTTACCTTTTGACATTATCCCTGCTGAGGAAGCAGATGAGGTAAGGGATATTGCTTGATTTGAATAAATATTATATTATTATTATTTTACCAGTTATAAACTGTAGCTGTAAGTAAGATCTTAATAAGTGTGGTTGGTGTTAACAAAATCAATTTTTTTTAAAATTTTCCTTCAAGGAAACTGGTCTTGATCAGGATGATAGGTAACTACATTGTACTAGTCGACATTGCTTTGTGTTTGACTCTGTTTCCGTCATCCTGTAATACCATTTATAATTAACTATCAGCTTGACTTCTCATTTTACAGTGTGATGCGTAAAGATTCCATTGCAGAGCCCTTCTATGGCTTGGTTGGGGAAGTATTTGAGCTTAAAGGAGGTAATTAAATTCCGCCTATCATTGTGCAAACTAAGAAAGTCGTGCCCGATAGCCCGGGGCTAGTGGATTTTGCTATCGGGCTAGTGATTTTTTGGGGGAAATTCAAATAATCAATCCTGCTAATCAAAAAGGGTTTTAGGGCTAGCTGAAATGACTTGTGGGCTAGTAAATGCTAGCAACAGCTTGCCTGAATGGCAGGCTGTAAAACTGACTTTATTTGCACCCTGGTCTATACAAGAGATACAAAAGATACAAGAAAAAACATTTTTAGAAAACGTTTATCATAGAAGAATGATTTGCTGCAAAACATTGTATAGAAATTGAAGCATCCAACACAAAATAAAAATATACCAAAATTTCAGGTGAATGACAGATAAATATAATAAAACAGCTTTGTTTTGACAAGTGTGATTATGATTTACTTAATAACAATGTTCTTTTTTGCAAAGTAAATTATTATTATGTGGAAAATAGATAAGCACTCATTAAGGAGAGAGTAGTTGGATTTAAAAACAGGGATTTCTTTGACCAAAAGGACCAAACAAGCTTTCTTTAAGCTTGAAAAACTGAAGTCATATAAATAATTTGTAAGCTATATGTGTACCACATAAACTTCCAGCCCTGATGTTGTACAGAAGTTAGGTTGCTGGTTGCTGGTTGGAGGTTTAGTTGGGATTAGTGTTTTTTTCTTTTAATTAGCGCTTTTACTTGTCTGACACAAACTGAAATTATTTGCACACACAATAAAATTGAAGAATACATTAATTCTAAATTTATCTGTTTTAGTTTTCAAGTGGATGAGAAGAACCTTGATAGCATTTGTTCAGGTTACATTTGGAGGTACCATTAACAAGTAAGGCTACTGACAGCAGCTGATTATGATACAGAAACCTTTATACTGTAGCTTATTCTTTGGAAACGGGTCATTATGTTACCCAACATTACAGCTGGTTGGATGGTGTTTGTGAAACCATAATGCCTTGGAATGGTCTCACTAAAAAAAAGAAAGCTTAACGCATCAACTAACAATAAAATTGACCTGATCTTTTCACAGGGATTCATGTAATTGTTAACTATGTCAAGCCAGATCATGGTAAATGGAAGGAACTGATGAATCCTTTCCCAGGGTAAATCCGTCGGTTCCTTTGATGTGCTATGATCCTATCTGATCTTTGGATCACTGATCCTGATCCAGATCATCCCAATGGAATGCACTCATGACAAGGATCCATGTTACACCCAGCATATTTGGAGAATCTGTTTGAACAGGTTCTTAGAGTCACTGACTACAGACTTTTCTGAGAACACCAGTAATACAAGATATGATTGTCACTACCAGTGGGTCCTGATGTCCTTCTGGATATTATCACTCTAATGGGATGATTGTTTCCATTGTCAGAGAAATTCATTGTATGGTTGAGTGGTTGGTGTCGGAATCAATGGTGATTTACTACATTCACTTGTTTCGTGACTCCACATGGCCAGGAGGGGAACTGGCCAAACCTGCTGCACTTCGCACTGAAGCAGTAAGTATTGACTCTGTTTATCAATAGCTCCTAGATTTTGAAATATTTATTAACAACCTCATTCCCAGGATTTTTTCCAGTACTTACAGAAAAGGGGACTGTAATCCTTTCTAAAGAGAGTTGACCATACACTGAGAAGACCTGCCAGAAAGCTAGTAGCAGCCAATTAATTGGGACTGACCACACAACATGAAGGCAAACTGCATTTAAAAATTGACAATTAAAAAAAATTCAAAATTCAAAAGTTAAACAGATTTGTATGGGCAACTAACAAGTAGCCGCTTTGTTTTTAGGAAAAAATTGAAAGTCGAAAAAGAGCCAAGCAAAAACTACTAAAGAACATTCCAGGTAAGCTGCGGATATGAATCAGTATTTTTATTTGGTGACAAACTTTAAGACAATCCACCTTTGAACAACCCACCCAGTGAATTTTCCTTTTTATCTTCAGAAGTTCTTCAGAATCTGGTGGGGAAGAAAAACAGTAAAGTTGGAGCTCAAAAGGTATTAATATTAATTTCTGGTTACATGTATGAACACAGTCAAAGGGAATGGAACTTAAATGTGTCAGTTCGGGTCCTTTGATGCTTATGGTTACCAGCAAACAGAGCATAGGAGTCGTCATGCTAACAAAACCTGGATTTACGCTAATGTCATTTCGAAGAACTCGACCCAGTATTTGCACTGATGAAAGGCTTCTCCTGAAAAGTTATTAATCGGGGGAGGGGGGGGGGGTGGCTGGCCTCTCAGTACCCCTACCCTATTATAGTCTATTCTGTGGCCGAATATAGATCCCATCGTAGTCACTTTTGGGAAAATGTTATTTTCGCGATCCCAACTTAATACCTTTCTGGTACTTATTTTAAACTAGGTCATCCTGAAATGAGTTGACACCTTGGTTAAACTTACTGAAGTAAAAATCTTCCCATTTTAAAATCCCTACCTGCCTGAATTTCCTGATCCCCAAATCCCGAAAATGCGCAATCCCATTCTAGTAGCTCTTATGAAAATGCGACCTCATTATAGTCAATCCAGCCGTGAAAATGCGACCCCATCCAGCGGCACATCCCCATTAACCTATGCTGGGACCCCCCTGGGGGCTTTATACTGAACTGTATTGAGGTTTTCTATTCTTTTTGTAGGTTTTTGAGGCATTTCAGGACATCAGAGTCACAAAACATCTTTTTTATGTGAGTGTCTTGTTTAGTGGGGTGGATGATAATACTAATTTTTGCTTATTAAGAAAGAAAGAGAAAGTATGGCATAACTTCGCATCTATTTCTTAATCTTTTGCACCCTCTTATAATTTATTTCTAGAGCTAATCAGGGATCCACCTGAAAGCGCTTTACTGGCCCCCGATGGTTTCAATGGCCAAGATCTTCTGAACAAACGTACCTTATTGTAGCCTCCCACGCAGACGTTCTTAGGGGTTCGTCACGCGTTCCTCCCCCCCTGTTCGTGGGGCAGGAACGCACGACGAACCCTGAAGAACGTCTGCGTGGGAGGGTAAAAAAAATTGCAAAATTTAAGACCAGCGAATAAAAATCCTCGCGAAATTTATTTAAAACGCAGGAAATTTAATACCCATATGGAAAATTCTAATAATTGTGGGTGACATGACTCTGGTTTCGGGTGACATAGCTTTGAGCGAGATGACTTTGGGGCGACTTGACCGTTAACCTGCCTTACGGAGGTGGCTGCTTAAGAGAGCCAAACTGCAGGAGGTATTTTACGAGGAAAAGCTCGGAAACATGTACTTTTTGATGAGAATGTATTGCAATTTACTATTTTTAGGTTACACTATATGTAAATCCATGTTGTTTCTAAAAGTTCTTCTCATACTCCAAGAAGCGTAGTACAAACAGCGAACACAAAGATCAGACCACTGTATCGGGCCGTCGCTTCACGGATGGGGTTAAAAGCAATGGAAAATTCTAAAGCCGTCATACTTGAAGTGGTCGCAGTCGCTTACGAGAGATGGTCGCACTTGGAGGAATGGCTGTAGTTAGTCCTTAAACATGGTTTCTTATTATTGCAGGTTCTTTTTGAACTCATATTATTCACCCTCTGTCCTGAAGTCGTATCAGAGGAAGTGAAGCAGAGAGCAAGGATTATGATGAACAGAACACAGCAGTCAACTTTGCCAGAGTGAACAAGAAAAAAACTAAAGCAACAAATCAAGTTCTTGTTGGAAGCGCTTGCAAAGTTTTCAAAACGGCGGAAAAAAATATACACTGCTTTGTAAAGCGGCACTTGAAGCTCACTTTATTTGCAAGACATGTATGCTACTAACAAAAATAATAATTATTATATTTTATTTATTGAAAATTAACAGAGACGTTTAATTGACAAATTTAGAAAAAAAATTTAATTATTGGTATTATTTAAAGGAATATATGTTGTTAAATAAGAGATGTTGATAGACGAAAAAATAAATAATGGTGATAAAAATTTTTATAAGTTATGGAAATAACATTGTTTATTTTGTGCGGAGGGAGCCGTGTTGGAATATCAATAAACTCCGGAACAGACTAGGTTTGTTATGGCCATAAATCCTCTTTTTGATGTAAGTGGAGTCATTCTGCTTATGTTTCCCTGGTCTGAGAAGAAGGAGCAGTCGTTTATTACGTCTCGGAGGGGCACAGGGGTTTTGGAGGGGAAGGGGTAAAATTTCTGATAAGGCTTAATTTTGGGACATCAATTTTTGAGTCAAAATTTTAAGACCCCTTCTTGGCTAGCCTATGTAAAAGTTGTTCAACCATATTGCATTTTAAAGCTCATTATTGCCATAGGGTGGGGGCAATTTTCTTATGACATTATTTCCGGTGGGGTTTACAGTTATGGTAAGTATAAAGTAATCAAAATTTCCTGTAAACACTCCCCGCTGGAACATAGTAAACGATCACTCCCGAACAGGCGACATTTTTGTGACACCACCACTAGTTTCCTTACGGGGAAATAAGGAAATGTCAGTTCTTTTCTCAGGCTACTTACTCCTAAATTCCATAATACAGGGACTTGTACCCAGTCCTCCACAAAATGAAATGGGGTAATGCCAAATTGTTCAAGCCATCACTTGAAAAACCCTTTTTAAGTCTAATAAATTCGTCTGTGCTAAACTTTGGAGAACAAATAGGAAAGCTTATAGCTGATTCCCCCATTTGGTGCAAAATGGGTGAGCACTGGGGGCGCTAACTTACACATCAGTGATCAGTGATCACATCAATGATCCCATCCCCTTTTTTATGTCACTGATCTCTGTTCCCACATAATTTTTGTTGTTATAACCCTGTAAACAGCAAGATCAACCCCCAAAAATTCAAAGTTGCCAACTAAAAAAAAAAAGGAAACATTCTACTTGTCAACATTGAAAATTTTATTTTGAGTAGTGGTAGTTTTCACAAAGGCATATTACTCGTAGACCCAGGAATATGTAGCTGGTTCCCAGTCGACAAGTTCCTCATCCTTAAACCAGAGAGCAATCTCCTTTTTTGCTGTTTCCACTGAATCACTACCATGACAGATATTCCTAAAAAAAATCAGACAAAAATGTCAGTGCAGGAGGACAGTGGATGGGAGACTGGGAGGGGTTCAGAAGGTGTACGTGAGGGGAAAGGGAAGGAGGTTGGAGTTTTAAAAGGGTGGGATGAGGGGAAAAAAGAAGGAAAATTATGCAACAATAAAGAGAGATTATTGAGACATGTTTACCGCAAACTTCAGATTCAAGTTGAGAATTTCTCAGAATAGAAAATAAACTGATAAAAACTGTCCAGAACAATTCTTATGGATAAAACTGGCCTGAAACTACTTATTTTTGGGTCGAAGTAATAAACAGTAATTTATTAAGGGCAAAACTTGGTCACATGGTCCAAATTCACGTTTGCCATTTTCGTGTAAATGTGAATCTTGTTATCTTAATCTCTCTAATGCTTTTATAAGCTCTTGTAAGCGACAACTAAGAGTCTTAATCATATAAATCAAGACTTTCATGAAACTGCACACTGCACTAATGGTTCACTAATAAAGATGGGGTTATTCAGGTCTAAAAAATGTAGCTGTGTCTATATGTATCAGATATAAAGTCACTAATTAAACAATAATTTCTTTTGTTTTTTCTTTATGAATTGTCAGTGAGTTTCTGAGGTCCTCATAAGCGATCACCCCCTATTGTTTTACTATGCTGTCGCTTAAGACCACTTATTTGCTTTTCCAAGGTGGTCGCTTACAAGAGCTTCGATTGTATTCTCCACACTTTTGAAACAACTTCAAAATCAAAACATTGAATCTGTGCTGGTCATTTTCTTTCAACAGATTCATATGAAAATTCAACGCACCTTCCAATGTGAATGGAGAAATCTCCACGGACAGAGCCTGGCTTTGATTTTGCCTGCGGATAGTCAGAAATACTTATTAAATATAAATAAATAAATAATATGGTGTTTTTTTCCT